AAAATTTCGCGCCCTTTAATGTGGTGTGTCAGTGCGATCTGAAGGTGTTCCCCGGGTTCCCCTCCCCGCTCCTGCCCCCCGGGTGCCCGATCCCGATGGTATCGGCCCGCGCTGAGCTGCAAGGCCTCCCGGCTCGGCCCCGCGAGCAACTTATTCCAAGATGGAAACGTGAGTTTAGTGTTTTATTATTGCTATCGTGATGGTGCAAGATAATTAATTTCACTGGGCGACCGACCAGGCGTCGCCGGCCGCGCCGGGCTCGATCCGTGCGTGCAGTGCGTGCGCTCCTCCGCCCTGGACAAATAAGCAAAGTCTGCCAGTTTGAAATTTGAGTCTGCTCTCGCGGTCGGGCCGCGCGCCGGGCTGCAAGCGGGCTGCGAGTGGCTTGAATCACACTGCCGAGGAGATTACATTCCGGCTGGTCTCACTGCTTGGGCGCCCGACCCGGCCGCCGCGGCCTCCTATGGCTTTTGGCTTCCAGGCCAGGACCTTGGCTACCCCTTTGGCAGCTCGCTCCTCTGCGTGCGGCTGGCAGACGACGCGCCGCACTTTAAAACGGCCACCCAGAGAAGCGTGCCTCGCCTCGGCACGGCGGGGATCACTCATCAATCCGCGGGGGAAAAGGGAGGGGGTAGGGCAAATGTTCAAAATTTTGAGTTATAGTGCCCCACACACTGGTTGATTACCTTTTGCCTATCATCTCTGACAACTTCGCCTAACGGCCCGGGCTCGGCTCATATGTTTCTATTTTATTTCATTATTTTTTAGCAGATGATACATTTGTAACCGAAACTTTGAACAATTCTCATAACTGAAATTAATAAGAATGATTTGTCAAATGTGTCATTGCTTGTACTGTCATGCAGCGGCGTGCAGGGTGGCAGAAGGCGTGACGTCCGGACCGAAAACCTGCACGTCAACACTGACGTGGGTATTACTGTTACTAGTGTTGGCCCGCCCGCCTCGGCTCGACCGGCGCTCGGCTGGACGCGCAACTCGGAACTTGGCCCGGTTCGGCTCATATCATATCATATCATATCTTGCTATTCTAAATTGAAGGAGAATGAAACGGCAGAGGGAAACTTGTATGATATAAATAGCAACAAAATTCTGTAAATGTGGGTGTTGGATTTTTGAAACCTCCACATCCTGTACTGAAATAATATAATGCAAGGCTTGATCATTACATACTTATCATCTGCTTCCTCGATCCGTGCCTTGACGGAACTTTTTTTACTGAGTCCACCAGAAATCCTGGAGCAACGATTCACGCTCTCCGGAGAGCGAGGATTGGAGTAAATTTCCTCGCTCTCTGAAGTGCGAGGTTTGATTTCCTTGAACGATTTTTTTGTGTGAGATTTCCAAAATTTATTCTCTCTCAATTTAAGTGAGATTTTAGAATCACACGACTCAATCATTCATGACTTCAAAATCATTACTAAAATATACCGAATATACAAAACGTCTAAAATGTGCACAGTGCGCAACGTCAGACACCATCTAATATGCAAAATCATGATGTGCGCACACTGGTGCACACTTGTGATTGATTGTTGTTCACGAGTGTGAGAGTGATCGATTACACAGATAAAAACTGAAACTATTTGTACCTCAAGTATCTCGTCTCGGGTAGCTGAGGTGACGATGCATCTGCAGTACACCTGTCCACCCGCGCCACTTATCGATAAGGGATTGGGACTGACACCAAGTAGGAAAGGACTTTAACCTCAAGCAGCGAGTGTTCCTATAAAACCAACGAGTGCTCTCACAATCACACACAACACACACATCTGTTCCACCATGAAGACCATCATGAGGACTACCCTGCTGGCCTGCATGCTCCTCGCAGCGCTTCAGTTCGCTCAGGTTAGGAGACTTCCTGCAAACATTTTACTAACATCTAATTGATGCAAAATCATGGTTCTGTGAACTTCATTCACTGTGAAAAAAGTAGGTAGGTTTACAGGAAAATTTTCCTTGACACAAGTTGTAAAACTACAATTTGTAATCGTAAAAATACATGCAGTATGTATCGACTTCTAATCCCTTGGCGAGTAAAAAATGTGTTGTCGTAAATTTACAACTTGAATTATAATTCGAGTTTACAAAATTTTTGTAAACTTACGACGATATTTTTCACAGTGATTGAGAAAAGCAACGAAGACGGTTTACAGTTCTGTGAACTAATATTCCGGTTGCATAACAACAGTAACAGTGGCGCAAGAAATGAGCGCATACTCTGAAAACACAAGTGTGTACTTGAATGCAGGAGGTCCTGTGTACTTAGCAAGTATGCAGGAGAAAGTGTGTACTTGGTCAAGTATGCAGGAGGAAGTGTGTACTTGATCAAGCACATGCCATCTCCTGTATACTTGCCAAGTACACAAGACCTCCTGCATATATGTAAGTACACAGGACCTCCTGCATTCAAGTACACACTTGTCTTTCCAGAGTAGACCCTACGAAGCGAAACTTAGTTTTAACTTAGCACAAACGTTTGCACATAAACATATAAATGCACACTTAAGATGCAGTGGTAGAATATCATACATTTGTCTTTCCAATGGAATTTTATATGAATACAAAATTACAGACATTTAGGAAGAGATTTATTTAAAATGCAACCTGCCGGACATGAGATCCATGACATTTTATTCAAATGGTGTTTTTCAGGCGAGCCCCTCACCTGCGCTCGAGGCTGCGCTGGCGGAAACTAAGGCTACCAGTCTATGTAAGATTTAGTTCACGTGGACTTTTTGGTATCAGTGTCCAACTTAAAACGCGGAAATAATCTTCTTTTTTTCCTGTCCCACCAGCGGCAACTAATGCTCTTACGTGCATTGCTAAAGGAGTTTACCAATTCATCATGGATATAAATGATACACTGTCCTTTTGCGCGCAACTAGGAGAGGGGGCCGGAGAAGGCATGATCCTCGTCGTGTTCCCCATCTGCACCGTTGGGACTACGATCTTAGACATAGCGCGCATTGCGTTCGACTTGTCCCAAAATTGCTGAGGCGTTGCCGTCACCGACAGCCGGATAGTTGAAGTGTTGTCTTCAATATTATCTTGTTTTTAAAGTGAAAATATACTCCTTTGCAATGTAGTCTTTCTGATTTTTAAATTTTTGTTCTTTTTGGTTTGGATGTCCCTACCCGAATGTTAAAGTTTCCCGTTTGGTTTCTTGAAAAATATCATAACCGCTTTCCTTGTGCGAATTTTGTTTGTTTATTTGTTATACAGCTAATGAATTGGGAGACGTCCTCGCTCACACCACGGAGAGAGAAAGAGTTCACGTCCTGTCGCGTCAGGCCCCTACCCTTACCCTGCCTAACAATACTGTAGGCTCACAGTCCCCCCCGTCCCTGCACAACAATACTAGCTCACCGGCGCCGGCCGCTCTGCCCGCGCCTTATCTGCCCCTCAACGCCGCTTGTACGCCGAATTACAAAATTGCAAGCAACAAGCAAGCATAAACAAATGACAGCTAAATGCGAAACAACCGATATTCTTGAACTTGTATCATCTGCTTTCAAGATGGATTCTTGATTTAGATTATTATTATTTTTGTGTAACACGGCGCCGCATCCTGCTAGTCCTGCGGAACCTATGCTAGGTCGACAGAGGCCCATGGGGCGGCGCGCCTGCAGGACGCTACAGCGCCTTCATTGCCCTGCTTTATAGTGGCGAGGCTATTCGCCGCGCCACGCTGCGCCGCTCTCCGGTGCTCTCTCTATAAAAATGTTTGGACTCGCGCATGTTTTCCGGATTACAGTCCGCCCGTCCAGTGGAACCAGTCCCGGGGCCCCGGCGCGCCGCGCTGCCGACCGGCCTGCCTGCCCTGCCCTGGAAACAGTCGGGACACGTTATATTCCAGGCCGTTGTGTGCGGCGCGGCTGCTTGCCCTGCCGGGCTCCCTGGAATTGGCTTTCGCCCGCTTAATCCCCTTGCGCCTCACCTGACAGCCCCGGCCCCGCCGTTGCATCGGGGGGTTGTGTGAGGGGGATCCGCAGCCCGCGAGGCCACCGGCCGCCCGCACTCCGCGGGGGGGTTGCCCGCCCCTCCCCGCCCCACCCGTCCGTACAAATTAATCACATTCCGAAGGGCTTAGCCCCTGCCGTCTGGCCCGGCCGCTCCGGCAGGTCGCTCCGGCAGGTCGCTCTCCAGCCCGGCAGGCTGCTCCGGGCTCCAGTGCGCCACCCGCTGCTCGCGGCGGGGGTCCTTCAATACAGAGTAAAGAGGGTCAGTGCTCCGCACACGGCCGCGCTGCGCGGCGGGCTGGGGCGGAGAGGGAAGAATCACCACGAAAATTCGATATCCCACATAAAACACGTCTTTGGGGTGAGGACCGTCGTTATTCGTTTCACTATATAAATGAATGGTGTGTTGGGGTTAGGGGTTCTTTTGACGCTAGCCGCGGTCCGACACTTCTCGGCCCGCCCGCGAGGGTCTGCCGCGAAGG